TTTGTTCCTCAAAGTCACGGAAACACGAGTTGATATCTCGAACCGACATTGTCTTAAGAATATCCAAAAGTTCGCCCTCTTCCAAAAGTTCCTTGGTGATGGATGCGGGGATAACGACGCCATTGGGAAGCCCATACTTGCCAGGGTGTCCTCCCGTCAGTCCCTTCAAGATACCACGAAGATAATTTCGAGGACTGCGAATCTCGGAACCCCTCAATTTGATCTGGGTATCGTAGGTCTCCAACGCGCCATTGACTTTTTCATCCGATAACTGGTTCAACATGTCGACCATGTCGCCCGTCACGAGCGTAGGATCCACTGAATCCGGCACGACGAGGCCTTCGCGGAACTGGTACTCTTTGCCTTTCTTGGCAGGCGATGACGTTGTTGCCTCATTGTCATCCCCTTCTTCTTTGGGATCTTTGGTGGGCGTTTCTGCCATGGTGATAACAACAACAACGAGTAATTAAAATATGTGTTTGCCTAGTAGCTTTAGATTGGAAGATACCGAAGCACATCAATGGATGCTTGGATTTGTGAGGTGGAGCGGAAAGTTTGCTGGGTGCTGAGATGACTGATGAAAGATCTTTTTGAGACCCTTCTCTTGCTTAATTGCTTTGTCTGACGCTCATGTGCTCTGGATTTTTTTAACTTTAACCTGGCAGAGCTAAAAAGCAATACCGGTACGTGGGGACGAGTGACGAGTCGAGTCTGGTGAGTACAGGGTACCACCGGTATCGTACCAGGTACTAGTACACATTAGCCGATAGCATCCTTGTATCGTCACAATACGGAACCATAGGGTACAACCACACACCAAATAAATAGAAGCGCTTGTACATACAGTAGCCATGTCGCAGGACGCTGGACTGTAAAGCAGAAGGGGTAGAAAGGACAAGGTCAAATTATCGCAACTCTACTACTAGCTACGATAGCCAGTTCCTATTCGGACTGAGCTTTCCCTTCTTCGAACGAGGACCAGGCTGGATTTCCAGTACCGGTGGCTGAACAAAGACAGAACGGGGCGAGGCTTGGTGGTCTCGTTGACTGATATGCAACGACCGAGGAAGATAGCACATGAGCCAGGTAGGAATTCAAAGCTAAGTGAAATGTGTATTTACATGCAAAGATTGAATCCTGCTGTCCAATCGTTTTCTAAAGAGGGAGAGACACAGAGAGACGTAAGGGAAGCCCGCTCTCATGTATAATCATCCCTTCACCATGAAGAGACAAATTGAGTCTGGTCCAGCTCATCTTTTAATGACTGACACCTTTTAAAATAATATGCAGAGTTGTTTGGTAGTGGCAATGCACGGTACCGGTATGTTTAGCGTGAATCCTGCTTGTCAGCGAAGTTTTTTCTTGATGGATAGAGGGGAAGGGAGGGTTAAACTTGTTTCTTGTCTTCGCTGCATGCAGATAATATATACCCATTCATTCAATATACTGGTTCTCCGTTCTCCAAATCTAATGATGATGTTCGTCGTCGCTGTCGAAATCATGGCTATCGAATCCCGGGAGCCCATTCGATGTTCCTCGTTCAGTATCACGCACATCTCTCTCCGAAATGAGCACTTCCTCCAACACAGACAACCGATCCTCCGCGCGATGCTTTTCCGCCCGTTCCATCTCAACCTTTTCGCGGAGATCATGAATCTCCTTTTCCGTAGCTTCACGACGATCGTTTTCATACTTGAGCGTCATCTGGTACTCCTCCTTTTGCTTTTCCCGTGCGTCGCGCTCGGCGTCGAGTTCTTGGAGTGCTGTTTGCAAACGTTCTTCCGTCGCTTCACGGAGAATCTGTTCGGATCTCGCAATGGCTTCTTGACTGCTTCGTTTCTCCTTCTCGGCGACAAGTTCGCCTCTGACTTTGGCAAGGCTCTCAGTCAACATCTGGACCCTCTCCATACTGTTGGCCAACAATGCCAGGGTGTCTTCCATTTCATCGCTAGTTTTGGGCTGCACCTTTGCAACAATCTCAACATTGGTGGTTTCGGCATTTTGCTCCTTCATGGCGCTGATAAGCTGTGCATCAAGTTTTCTGGAGGTGTCGTTGGATTTAGGAGTGGCATTGCCCACGACGTACTGATGCTGATTATTTTGGTTGCGCTTGGGAGTTGCGGGTTTGTGTTTTCGGATAATGTCCGCCAGAAAAGAATACTTGTCGTAGATGGTGGAACCACGTGCACGCATCTCTTTGTCGAATTCCCCCAGAATGATGTTAATCTCAGTCACGGAGAGGGCATTAAGATCATCCAAGACAACTCCCTGCATGAGGGAGAACTTGACACTGGGAGGGACAACAACCCCCTGAGAAAGCCCCATTCTAGGACCTGAATTGATAATACCCAACAGGTACGCGTTTTTGTTTCGAATACCCCCCTCACGAGCACACGTGTCGTACTGTTTCAACATGAGATTGACAATGTCCGATGGCATACGTTTGAGAGTCTCTAGGATCTCTCCTTGCAACAGAGAATGATTCACAGAGCCTGGCACAACTACATCTTCCTTGAGTCCAAACAAAAGACCTGACTGAGGCTCTCGTGGAAAGTCCAAGTCTTCGAACTGAGCGGGATTGCTGAATTGGTTGTTATCCATGGGAGATCCCGCCGTCCACGTTGTCACCGGAGACGAATACCCCGAACCTGACGTCCACGCAAAATCATTGCTCTTGCCTCTTCCTCTGCCGCCGCCGGTGTTTCCTCGTCCTCCGCGACCGCCGCCCCGTCCGCGTCGATTGCGTCCGTTGTTCTGGTACGCATTGTTGCTTCTTCGACGGTCCACGCTAGACATGTTGATGTTGATAATAATACCCAATACCGTACTTTTAATAAAATGACCTGACCTACGAAAGCGGTAATAAGACAACGCTATCTCTGGATGAATGGAAGTGTGAAGCAATGATAGCAAACTATAATAGTAGGAAGTTGAATGGAGGAGAAAGGAGGTTGGAGGAGGAGGTTAAGGAGGTTTGGAGGGTCTCTGGAGGTGTTACTTTCGAAACCAATAAGACCAGCTCATCCGAGATTGTGGGCGCACCAGATCAATGGCTGGCTGTGGTTTTGTGCAGCGGCGGACGTCGAGCTGCACCAACGAAACTCGTCTGTCCTTTTGGAAAGCAGCGCAGGCTGTTATTACACTATCATGTTTTACTAGTAGTGGTACCGGTACCGTTATCCGGTACTTATTATGATATCCTTTGCGTGCGTACCGTACCACCGGTACGGGTAGGGTATATACCCAGCAGAGCAGCTATTGCATAGATCTGTTGGCCTGGGATAACACGTTGAGCTGCAAACATGTAAAGCTCAGCCAAGCAGCTCTTCGAGATCCACTTCAAGCTAGGGATACCGTAGGCGCTGACTTGTCTCTGCCGCCCCTCAGTTTAAAGGATCGCTACCAGTTTATATTGTACGCGTCATGTAGTGCTAGGCTTGCTACGACCTGTACTCGAATCCTCGATGTGCAGTTAGTAATCTAATACCGGTAGCTAGCGGGAGTAGAGCTTGAAGCTCAGAAGCCAACGAGGTGCTGCAATACGTTCATCCCAAATCCTGGACTTCAGCCACAAATGTTTATGCTCCTTTCCTGGCCTCTCTCCTCCCCATATCTCGGCGCCCTTGTCCCATGTGTTGATCCAGGCAAGTGCCTAGTGAAGAATTGTTAGTAAGGTTTGTTATTAACAATTATGAGCTAGATACTTGTCCCAAACTGGAGCACACAGGCCCAGCTGGGGAGTGCCAACTCTTAACAGCTGGTAACGGTTTTGGCTACCCAGCTTGTGGGATTGCAAGCTGGGTGACTAACTAGTGGGGCATGCTTGCACATTAATAGTGGATGGGATCTGGTACATGACTCAAAGACTTAAGGGTCATGGTCCCAGATCAACACACCCTCACACGATTAAGTGCGCTTTGCCTCTTGGATGGATGTTTCGTCATCTTTGTTGTTGTGTAGAAACTTGTCGCGTTCAGCTTTATGGTGTGAAGCTGAATGATGCTTGGTAAAGTAGTCCGCTCTGTTGGTGATGCCTGGTCTCCAGTAGATGGTGAACTGGCCTTGTTCAATGCGGTCCTTGAGCCAATAAAATCGCATGTCGATTGCCTTGGATCTCTTCTGTTTGACGGTGCCAGCTAAAATTCCTTCCGCGCATTTGTTGTCGGTTTGGATTGGTGTTGCTGGTTGTGGATGGCCCATTTCGATGAGCGTTTGTCGGAGGGGGCATGCTTCTTGTGCGTTGTTGAATGCTGCGCCCACTTCTGCCTCTGCTGCAGAGCTGAGTACATTTTTCATGATTTTGGCGACGACATGAACTGCTCCGTTGTCAGGGGCATCGGTGATGCTGCCGTTGCTGAGGAACAAATAGCCTCCGGCTCTGGATCTGGCTTTGGGGGCGGACAAGTAGGAAGCGTCGGAGTGGAGGTGGGGAATCATGTCACTGCTGGTGTACCGGAGGATGGCGTCTGGATGGGTGGCGGCATAGTTGAGTAGCATTACAGTTGCCTGGAGCGTTTTCTCGGTGCCGTGTGTTTGTTCCGCTGCTATGTCTCCTAGTGCGACTAGCATTGTGCTGTCCACTGCGCGGGCGTAATACAGTAGTACTCCCACTATTTCTTGTACATGTTTAATTGCTTTGGATGAAAGTGGCGTTGTGTTGTCTTCTGGTTCGGTGTACTGAATAGGTTGACCATATTGGGGCACATTCCATTTGTGCGGTGCGTGTTGTGGATAAGCTGGCTGGTTGTGGTTAAAACGTTGCAGTGCTCGCTTGACATATCCAGGCATGGATAAGTCTACAGTTCTGTTGATGTAGTCCCACTTCAGGGTGATGCCGCAATACAGTTCTCCATCCCAGTCAGTTGTGATCTTGTACGCTCTGGCTAGCGTTTCGATGAGATGTTCTGCATTGGCACGTCCTACATATTTGACTCCGAAGTCGTCAACGACCAACGTGAAGGTGACTGGTCGGTGGCTGTGCTGGAATAGTCCGTGAATGTGCTTGGACTGATGGTATCCATTTTTGTTGAGGTGTTCTACTAGGGCGTCATTGGCAATGCGTCCGGCTTGTGGTAATCCATACATGCCCCTGTTTATTTCGACCATGACGAAGCCATTGTGCACTAGTCCGTGCAAGTTGTATTGTTCCATGATTTCGTCTGGAATGATGTCTACTGGGATTCGCATGTATTCTGCTCTTTTCATTGGTGTGCACAGGTAGAAGTCCTTTATGTCTATCGACATGAACTTTGCTTCTGGTGTCGATACCACACTGTTTAAGTTCAGTTTGATTGTTGTGAGGGAAGCTGTTTTGGTGCTGACATCGAAAGGGTACTCGATTCTGTCGCCTCCTACAGTAAATCGTACTCTCCTCTTCTCTGTTTTCTGGGGCCTGTCATCGCATACCACTCTAAGATAAGTGGCCTTGCGTCCGGCTGGTACCTCGGTATGGGAGATGAATCGGATGGTGTCCGTACCCTTCAAGCCTGTGGATGCACGTCCTTGGGCTAATCGGCCCATTTCGTTGCAACATGCATTGATCCAGTGCTCGCCGTCTGTAGATTGTTTTAGGACTTTATAGTCTGACAAGGCTCCGGTATCTGGGTTGATTGCTTTGTTCGCGTGGTGTTCCGGTGGTTGGACGTCCTGCTTACGTTCGTCGTTCCATTTTACGGTCTTGTTGTTGTCGCGTTCCGGCTGTGTCGTCGGTTTCGGTTTGCGTTTGCCTTTTTGCGAGGCCGTATCTAAGTACGTTGGCACCCTCAGAACTGCGCCAGGGGTGTTGGTCTGTTGTTCCGGTGGTGGATTCGCGACGGGTTGTGGCTGTAGACGGTCGTCAAAGATCTTGGCGAGGTCCAGGAGTGTTGCTGCTTCGCTGGTTGTGAGCGTTTGCGATGCTGGTGTGGTGTGTGGCTGTTGTAATGCCGTGGCAATATCGCGTATTCCTCCGATGGCCATGTCTAGTGGTGTGGGCATTGGTATCTGTAATCTTTCGGGGAACCAAGATAGTGTGCCTGCTTTGCGTTCCCTTTGCGTGTCCCATATCCACGTTCTGAAGCATCGGTATGCTTCGAGTTCAGGTCCTATATACCAGCCGTCTTTTCCTTTCGGTGACCAGGTGCTTCGTTCGGTTGGTTTTTCATGTACTACCACATGTATGCCGGGTGGTGCCATGGGTGTTGCCATGAAGTCATAGGCTCCGTGCACTTGTGCATGTGCTGACAATGCCGGATTGATTCGCGATCCGCGGAGGAGGTTGAGTGTGATGGTACACTGTGGTATGAGTCGGTCCCATAGATGCAGGGGGAAGTTGCTGTCGGTCGTGCACATGCCTGCAATAAGGTGGTTCTTGTACGTTCGTATGGCTCTTTCGGCTGCATTTCGTCTATGTATACCGGCTGGTGTTGTCTGTAGCTTGATGCCTTCTTCGTGGATGTGTTCCTTCAACTGCTTGGAGCATTCATTGTCTAGCATGTGTAGCTTCGGTCGCAATCCTGCGCGGACTAGCTTGTTGTGGATTGTGGTCCATGCTTTCACGTGCGATTGCGCTGACCGTGTTGGCATTGGTTCTGCGTGAATTGAGTTACTGTCGTAGTGGTAGAGCACAAAGAGGTAGTTGTTCCCATTGCTGGACGGAATGAAGAACCTTCCGGTTTGGTCCGAAAAGGATTTGCCTGTTGGTTCCAATACGGCTGAGAAACATGCCTATTGTTGCTTGATGTCACGTTGTTCTTCGTGTTCGGGAAACAGATCATCGTTGTCGGGTTCCAGTAGTAGTGGTAACGGTGCTGCTTCCGTTTTCGTGGATTTAATTCCTTGTCGCTGTTGATCCATGTGCCCTTTCGCGGTGGCTAGCGAATGAGGGGTGTATTTGGCAAAGGTGTCCGATGTCAATCCTGGGAAACTGGTGATGTATCCTTTCTGGAGAGCTTTTTGGAGTGTGGATGGCACTGGTGAAAACAGTGCTGCGTGTGCGAATGCGACTAGATCTGCCGGTGTGGCGGTGGGTGTTGTTGCCATAAAATTGGCGTGTTCCTGTGGTTGTGGTGACTCGAGGTCTATTTCCCATAATTGGTTTGTGTTTGGATTCCTTGATCCGGTTAAGATTGTGTCTCCCATGAAGGAGATTAGGCATTCGTGTGCCCTGAAGATTGCTTCACATCCGGCGTCACAGAGTTTGCCTATTGAGAGGAGTGAAGTGTTTCCCAATGTGGGAAATAAATGAGCTTGTGTTGCTTCTTTGGGGAGGTTTGGTAAGTCGATATGACATGTGTGAGTCGAGGTTATGATTGTGCTATCTGGTAGCGTTACTCGGATTGGATTTTTTGTTTGTTTTATGTCTATAATCGACTCATTGCTGACGGCGATAAAGTCCGTGGACAAGAAGTGTCCGGTGCTGCCTGTGTCTGCAATGATTGGAGCTGTTGCGCTATGTGCGACTTGTTGCCCTTCGTCTATTTGGGTTTTCGGGGGACCATTCAGTGGGTTTGTTTTTTCTTTTAACTTATCCGCGTCTACTATTTTAAGTTCTTTATCTGTGCTATTAGAGTTGGATTCGTTTTTTCGTTGTTGTTCCTTTTGAATTGGCTCCCTTCGTGATCAGGGGTTGGTTGGTGGCTGACGATTTTCGTCATTGCCTTGGCGCTCGCGCTGAGGGCGACGGTAGACCGCTCGTTCTCCTGCTTTGCGACGGATAATGCAACAGCCTCCCAACATGTCATCGGCTGTGGATTCAGCACGATGTCCTGGTGCTTTCTTGGTGCACTTTTTGCTTGTGTGGTTGCTGTTGGTGCCAAGTCCGTGCGACCAACAATAGTACATCGGTTTTCCTTTTCCATTCGGGATAACGGCACTGTTGGCTTCGTGAATGGGTTTGTCGCTTGCTTTGTTTGCGTAGCCCACGTCCTTTGGTGTAAGGATTCGGCGTCTTTCCTTGTCGGCAGCTTTGAAGTGTGTCTGGAGAAGGGCGAGAGATTCCTGTTGCACTAGTGTTTTGCTGCGCCACTCACGAAGTGCGTGTGTAAAAACTCCACTGTCTTCGAGATTGTCGATGGCTACACGTACTGCCATTTTGTCTGTAATGGCGTCATGGTCGGCTGCAAATTTCTGTGCATCTTTGACCTGATTAAATAGATCTTCGATGGGTTGAGTGGGGCTCTACTTGGCTGTCATTCTTTTGAGGTTGGCTCGTAGGTCATCAGGTTCGACTGTGCCGTAGTTTGCATCGAGGTGGGTAAGTAGTGCGAGGGTGGTGACCTGGGCATATCCATACATCTCGTGTTTGAGCTCTTTGGTGTAGGTGTCTGGGATGGCTTCAAGTAGTTGCTTCTGTAGGGCCGTCTCGGTGGCTTTGTAGATAAGAAATTTCGTTTCATCTGCTGCATACAAGCGGTTGGTTTCTGCAATCTGAGCTCCTGTAGGTTGTCCTACGTGTACTGGGGCTGCTCCGGGGTGAGCGGGGTTAACCCAAGCGATGGCATTGGGGAGAGCATTGAATGCTGCTGCTGGAATGACAAGGGCGAGGTGTCCATAGTGTCCTCCTCCCAACGTTGAGGTGATAGCCATGGCATTGGCGTTCAACTCTTGGTGAATGACTTTGAGGGTGCTGTAGTTTGGTTTCTCATCAGCATGGAGTGCTGTGAGTGTTTCCTTGGTGAAGTGGTCGATGGCCACGAAAGATGTCATGGTTGAGGTTGACGGCAGCTATGGAGCGAGTGCTTTTTGCTGTTGCTCTGCACCGGTGGTGTAGAGGTGTCGATTCAGTTAGATTGTTAATAACTGTTGATCCAGGCAAGTGCCTAGTGAAGAATTGTTAGTAAGGTTTGTTATTAACAATTATGAGCTAGATACTTGTCCCAAACTGGAGCACACAGGCCCAGCTGGGGAGTGCCAACTCTTAACAGCTGGTAACGGTTTTGGCTACCCAGCTTGTGGGATTGCAAGCTGGGTGACTAACTAGTGGGGCATGCTTGCACATTAATAGTGGATGGGATCTGGTACATGACTCAAAGACTTAAGGGTCATGGTCCCAGATCAACACCATGGTTGGGCGGGATACATGCATTGGATAGCGGGATCCGGGATACCGGTGTACATGTGCTAGTACCGGTGGTCAAGTAATAAGCAAGTAGCTGTTGGACAACGCGGGAGAGACATTTCTGTCCCTGTATGTGACAACTGCAAATGACTTTTTGGCACGTCAGCTAATCCCATAACTGATAGTTTGTTAGACAATTCGGCTATGGTCATACCAGGTGGCTTGTCTCAAAAGCAGACAGTCCAATCGAGTTCTGCATGCAGAGCGAAAAGAACTGCAAATTCTGCTGATGCACCTCATCCATACTGTTGATTGAATGATTATTGAAGCATCAGAGTATTGGATCGTTAGTTCACAGGACAGAGTCACGCAACGTTTTGAACAGCATCGGCATTGGCAACCCACAAAGGCAAAGACGAAGGCTATCTATAGTCAGCGATCAGTTTCATTATCTGTCGGGCCAAGCAAGAAATCAAATTATCAATTGATCCATAGCTGATCCATCATGGTGTTCGTGTTGTCGTTTGCGGCAATCGTATTCGTTGTCAGGAAAATCAACTTTGAGCATTGTGGTAAAGGCTGCAAAGGCCATGATTTGGACGACTGATGAGGTGCGGAATGGAGGATTTCGACATCATGTGGGATAGTAGAAAGCTGTAATCATCTTGTGGGTACCGTATACCCGTGAACACATGTACTTGTACTCACAGCAGGTTGTGTATACAATACGATCCCAGCACATACAAGAACATCACATACAACAAGGTGAGATAAATCGATTCAATTGAGCCAGAATCTCATGTGTTGGTTTGGAGTGAAGCTAGAATTTGTTTGTGGGAGCGATAGAAATTTCGTCTCAAAAGCTTCCTTTTCTTTTCTGCCGTTCAAGGTTTTTGTTGGGTCCTTTAGAGACGAGCATTTTTAAAATGAAAGTTTGAAGCATTTTTCAGCAGAGTGATACAATCAAAAGTTATACCGGACGAGTAGTTCCTTCTCTTCTTTCTGTACCGTATGTTGCATTAGAAGATGAATGGGAATGTTGGAACGAAAAGGAAAGGACACTTGTTTACATCGTAGAATCCAGTGATTTACATAGAAATCATAAACACAACTGTGACTTTTGCTTGAGTACAACTGTACTAGCTAGCTAGATGGTTTGTCTGACTCACAACCATGCAGCCGAATTGATTCTCGCCTGGTTCAGGTTTTGAGTAGCTGGCTACTAGGCTATCTCTTTCGGCGGGTGTTTTTGGCATTATGCCTTCATATGCATACCGCAGTATTTGGTTTATGCATGTGGTAGGGAGAACGAAAAACCATCCTCGTTCATCGACACCGGTAGATGTGTTTTGCAGATGTTTTTGGAAAGACAAAGCGTTGGGAAAGTGTCTTCGGGCCCAGGGAGTGGCCCCCCTTCACGCAAACTAATGTCGCCGATGGAGGCTGTAAAATCGCTCCAGCGGCTACGGCTGTACCATCAAGGAATCGAATCGGAATAACTCCGTAGAAAGCTTTGGTGCGCACTGAAACTGTCGCTCACGTTATTCCTGTCGTCCGGTCGGGTGGAGTTGCGCTGATTTGGAATACTCAAGGTACGGATAGCCCCCTTCACGCAGCAGCTAACAACATCAAGGAATAAAGGAATGAATAATTCCAAAGAAAGCCCACTGTTGCGCCCAGGCCAACCAAAACATGCGAATATTCCTGTCGTCTCACTAAGGAATACACAAGGCACCATAACAAGATCCCCATTATTAGAAAGTCAATCACTTACGGTGCTTTCATCCAGCTCACAAACGGCTTTCTACGCTTGATAATTACTATGAATTTTTAATGATGGGCAGCACTCTCCGACACAAACCAGTATTTTTATTTTGACGTCTGTGTTTTTTGTGTTTCCAGTATTTTGTCGTGATTTCTGCTATCGGATTGAATAACCAACGCACAAATCAATGATCAAGCAGATTGACTCATCCAAACCACAGGACCCGAGAACACCAACAACCGTTTATCGCTTCTATTAGTAGATTGTTGCTGCTGTTGATTATTCCCTTCCATGTTTAGTTAGTTTAACGCGCTTCGAATTGGATCACTGCGTTCAGCAGGCAATGGTACAAAGAATGAAGAAAAGCAATCAGAGTGAGAAAACGCAAAAGCAACCGACAAGCCGGCCAACGAAAATAAAGGCCATTCCCTAATAAAATGCCCAAGATCACGACGTACATCGCTTGGTCCTGGTCTTGTAGAGAATACGGAACCCGCACTGGCGACATCGAACCGGATCGCCTCCCTTGACGACATTTCGTGCTCCGCAGTCCCCACATCGATACTCGACACCGCGAACTACGGGAAGAGCTCCTCCTGTTGCTCCTGCGGTACCTTCGGTCATTGTGATCTGTT